TCCTCAGAGGAACTTCCCTGGGCACCACGGTCTAGCTGAAAGACTCCTGTGAGCTGCCCAAGCTTCACTGAGTGACATTAAGAACCGTAGAACTGTGTGTGATATGCTGCCTTGTGTAATTGTTATCTGCAAGCTATGTCCTGAACTAACCCAAAAGTTGATAGAGAGGATGGACCATGGAGGATTAATTTTGCCCTAATATCCATATTCCTTTGTGTTTAATTTTTAGATACCCGCTGGTTCTCCAAATCAATGTGGAGTGAACTCAAGACATATTTGTGATTCAGAGCTCATGTGCAGAATAGCTAAAGCCTAAACTGATCCTGCCACCAACTGTGTGATGATCAATGCAAACAAGGGAAGAGAAGAAGGAAGCATATCCCCAAGTGGGGGTGAGGGATAGAGGCTGCTGTGGGTGTGGCCAGCCAGCACTGATCTGCGGTCTGTCCAGTTCTAGCTTGCTAAGTTTTGGGAACAAACATTGGGTCAGGATGACCAACTCTGTTTCTTTCTTTCTTTCTTTTTTTTAAAGATTTTATTTATTTGACAGAGAGAGACATAGCGAGAGAGGGAACACAAGCTGGGAGGGTGAGAGAGGGAGAAGCAGGCTTCCTGCTGAGCAGGGAGCCCAATGTGGGGCTCGAACCCAGGACCCTGGGATCATGACCTGAGCCGAAGGCAGATGCTCAACGACTGAGCCCCCAGGCACCCCACCAACTCTGTTTCAATGTAAACTTCTTGCAGCCTCTGCGAATTCTTCTCTGGGTATCCCTCACTGTTCATATTCCATGCCATCAACAATGGACTTGATCACTTCCTTGTTTAGAAGGTCTTATGCTGTAGTAATTTAAAATTTACTTATTGTATTGAGATATAATTAACATGCTCTGAAGTTCATCCTACTTATATGTATAATTCAGTGGGTTTTTAGTATATTCATAAAGTTGTGCAGCCACTACTGCTAATTATAAGACAATTTTCACCACCTGCAAAGGAAACTTCATATCCATTACCAATCATGCCTTATCCTTCCCTTCTCTCAATTCCTGCAAACTACTAATGTACTTTCTGTCCCTATAGAGTTGCCTTTTCTGGACATTTCATTAATTAATTAAGATTTTTATGTATTTGGGAGAGAGAGTAGAAACGGGGTGGGGGAGGGGCAGAGGGAGAGGGACAAGCAGACTCCATCCACGCTGAGCAGGGAGCCCGATCTGGGTCTGGATCCCAGGACTCTGAGATCATGACCTGAGCGCGAAATCAAGAATTGGACGCTTAACCAACTGAGCCACCCAGGTGCCCCTCCTCTTTATAACTGAATAATATTCCATTGATGAATATACCCCATTTTTAATCCATCCATTAGTCGATGGGCGTGTGGACTGTTTCTACTTTTTGGCCATTAGGAATAATGCTGCTGCGAAAGCTGTATGGGTGTTTCCGTGGACACGACACGTTTTAAGTTCTCCTGGCTGTACACGTGGGAGTGGAGTTGCTGAGCTAGGAGGTAACGCCACGTTCACTTTTTGAGGACGTGTCAGACTGTTTTCCAAGGTGACTGCCTCATTTCACCTCCCCACCAGCCATGTAGAAGTTTCTAGGTCTCCACGTTCTCACCCATACTTCTTACCGTCTGCTTTGCCTATTACAGCCGTCCTAGGTTGTGCGTGTGGAGTGGTGTTTCACTGCGGTTCTGATCGGCATTTTCCTAATATGGTGAGGGTTTCTTCATGATTGTTGATCATTTGCATATTTTCTTTGGAGAGTTGTCTATTTAAAAATATTTTTACTATTGAGTTGCAAGAGTTCTCTCTCTACATTCTCAAAACTCACTTTTAATTGCATATTTATCAACTGATCACCACACTGGCCTCTTACTACAGGACAATCCTCAGCACACTGGCTTCCTGTACTGCTTTTTAACTTAACAGTTTTTGTCTTGCCTGGGTATGATCTCTCTATCTGTGTAACAAAAAGAAGGATGCAGGCCACTGTAGGGGGAGAAAAGAGTCATTTCTGAATTGAAGCTGTGTTAGTTTCTGTTGGTGCATAACAAATTTCTTCAAGTGTAGAGGCTTAACACAGCACATGCTTATTACCTCAGTTTCCAGGGATCAGCAGTTTGGGCGTGACTAAGTTGTGCCCTCTGCCTCGAGTCGCACAGACTATAATCAGCTCTGCTACGTTCTCATCAGAGGCTCACTCAACTAGAGCAAGAGCCACTTCTACACTTCCTTAGCCTGGAATGAGGGATGGCAGAATTTATTTCTTTGCAGCTGGAGAACTCGTAGCCTTCAAGGCCAGAATCTTGTAATGAGCCTCTCATCTGAGGGAGGGCCCCAATGTCTCTTTTAGGGGCCTTCCCCTGATTGAGGCAGGCCCACCCAGGTGCTCTCCTTTTTGATGAACTCAAGTCAACTGATTTGGGAGCTTAATTACATCTGCAAAATTCCTTCACTTTTGCTCTAATCTACTGGCTACAAGCAGGTCTCATGTCCCATCCACATTCAAGGGTGTGTGGGGAGGGGCCCTGTACAAGGGTGTGAGTCACCGGGAGCTACCTTGAGGTGCTTCTCTTAGAAGATAGTAACTGAAAGAGGGTTCCCTCTCCTAAGCAAAAAAGCATGAGTTTTTTAAAGTAATGCCATTAAACAGCTTTCCTTCTGAGAGCAGCTCCAAAGTTGTTCTGCTCAACCATTTTTCACTCCATGACGTACAGGCTCTGAAACACATGTGCATAAATGACCGTGTAGGGTGTCATGAAAATCTTTTCAATACCTAGGAGTCGTAAGTACCGTAATGACTTTGATGAGACAGCCCGTATTTCGGCTGCTCACACATTAATAATGATGAGGGTGAGGGCATGCACAGTGCTTTCTGGGGTACAGTACCTCACACATACTAAATCATGTCGTCTCCACAATCCAGCCTAGAAGTAGGTATTGTTGGTTGTTACCATCCCGTGTCCCAGGTGAGCGAACTGGAGGCGGGGCTCAGCGGTCACACCATAAGCAGCAGAGCCTGTCCCGAACCTACAAGTCTGCACTCAGATTCACCATGCTTGTGGCATCTCAGCGGGGTAGACATTCACCCTGTGAAGGAGGTGAGGATGTGGGTGTCATCACGGCCCTTGTTCCACACAGAATCTCAGGAAAAAACACTTCCACTAGCTCACGGTCATCTATGGAAATAGGTCCTCCGCAGAGGGTCTCTTGGATCATTACAAAAACCATTAATTAATATGGACAGAGCCAAAGAGAAGAAAGTAGTCTAAATCCTAAGACAGTACCTCCTGTGTCCATTTTGTAAGCTGCTTTTTGTCAGAGGAGAGTACCACGGACTCTGTGCTAGAGCAGTGTGTGCTCTGGATGTACAAGGCATCAAACCATTCATCTGACTTACGTTAAGAGCTAATTATGTGTCAGACACTGTGCTATGCACGAAGAACACAGTGGGCAAAAGTGTCACAATTCCTCTTTGATGAAGGTAGACGGCAGCGTGAGGACGACACAGTGAAGAGATATAAATAAAATATCAGGGTAGCCGCAGGTGTTATGTCCTGAATCGGACAAGCTGATGGCAGAGACTGGTCCTCAGGGTTACCTCTTCCCTGGAGAAAAAATAGAATCACGTAAGTCTGTCAAGAGCCATAATTAGTGCTTTTAACCTTGACAGAAGAAACACAAGTAAACTGGTCCTGAGGTGTGAGCTCTGACATTCCAGGGGCCACTCCACGGATACTGGGCCACCTGGGACTGATCTTGCTCCCCACTTCTTTCCCAGTGGGGGTCCAGGGCATACTTAGTGGGACATGCAAAAGCAGAACTGGGCTTTCAATTGTAGTCATCTGCAGTTGTCCTAACGCTGAACTTCTACACGAGATGTGCCCATCCAAGCTCTCCAGGGCCAAAAGCTGTTCCCCACCCACGCCCTAGAAAACACAAACCGAGCTTTAGGCTTTCCTTCACTACTGAGAACAATTCCCTCCCTATCTCTCTTCATTCCCACATCAACTGCTGTTTTCCCTTGTTCAAACCCTGTTGTTTTGCCTCTTGTTTCTTGGCCCCTTGGAATTGACGACAGATTTTGACTTCCCGGAGATAAACCCTCCCCTTCTCTCCCTCCCCCAGACTCAGCTCAGCCCGGTTGGGCCAGCCCAGCCACTGCCCAGGAATGGGCTTTCCAGGGTTATCATGAAAGTGTGGAGATAAGAGGCAGGAAGCTGAGCCACGTGACCCCACACTCCTCCTCTGGCACCTGAGCCCAGGGTCACCTACCATCGCTGTGCTTTAGAAGGGAGTCCTAAAGCCAGGCTCCCCAAACCGCATCTCCAGCTGCACCATCCAGCTTCTCACCAGGAGTTAATTAGATCTAGGTGTTCTTTAGCCCCAGGGCCCCGGTCAGGTCGTGAATGGGGAGGCGGATTAGCTCTGGGAAGGTTCAGCTGCACACAGCAACTCTGCCTCCGTCTCTCTTCTCCACCACATCCTGGACCACCAGGCGCCACCCCACTCCCCACAACCCGGCTCTGGGTGGTGCCAAGTCCCGATCATTAACGAGCTCCTCAGGTGATTCTGATCTGCTGCCCTGTTGGGAACGACTGTGATTGAAGGAAGATGGAAAGAGATCTGAAAACAAAACCCCAACATCGTATTAAGTGGTTTCCTTTTGCAATGAGAGGTGCATTCTTCAATTATGCAGGGTTAAATATGCCATTTCAGTTTATATTTTTGGAATAATACCTCTGGATAATATCACCAGGATAACAGAAGTTCCCAGGAACCTGCACTTTCTTTAGCGATTTTGGCCAGCAGTCACGAGATCTTCATTGCTGGCCTCGCTTTTCAAACTGAAGAGCTGCTCAAAACAAGGTGACACTTTCAGCGAAAGAGGCCCGTGCCAGGGACCTCCAACTCCACTATAATAGGAGAGGAGTGGAGGGCTCTGGTTTTCTTCAGAATTCCTCAGGCTGAAGGCCCCATCAATACAGAGCACTTCAGTGGGGTCTCAGGCAGGACTTTCCAAAACAGCAATTTCCAAAGTTATAAACATGCGGGCTGTTTTGGAAAATGTGAGAATCTCTGGTCATCATCAGTTTGTAATTGTTGAAGTTTTACAAGTGAGGGTAAAAGGTAGAATTTTGGTAACAAGTTTCTCAAAACAAAATAACAAAGACAAAATTATCTCAAATTTATTATTCTGCATGACATAAATAGGACGTGTTTGTTCTATGATGGAAATATTTTTTCACTCCTTTTCTTTTCAAGAACAGTCTGAAGAAAACATAGGCAGTAAGCTCCTTGACATCACTCTTGGATTTTTTTTTTTTTTTGATCTGACTCCAAAGGCAATAGCAATGAAAGCAAAAATAAACAAATGGGACTACATCAAGCTACAACACTTCTATACACAGTGAAAGAAGCAACTTTCTGAGTGGGAGAAGATATTTGCAAATCATATATCTGGTAAGAGGCTAGTCTCTAAAATATATGAAGAACTCATAACCTAATAACAAAAGCTAAACAATCTGATTTAAAAATGGGCAGAAGATCTGAACAGATGTGTTTCCAAAAAAGACAGACAGATGGCCAACAGACACATGAAAAGATGCTCAACAACACTCATCATGAGGGAAATGCCAATCAAAACCACAACAAGTTATCTCAAACCTGTCAGATTGGCTATTTTAAAAAGACAAGAGATAAGTGTTGGAGAGATTGTAGAGAAAAGGGAATACTTTTACACTGTTGATGGGAATATTAATTGGTGCAACCACTGTGGAAAACAGGATGGACCTTCCTCAGAAAATTAAAAATAGAACTACCGCATGATCCAGCAATTCCACTTATGGCTACTCATCCAAAGAATGTAAAAACGCTGATTTGAAAAGATATATCCACCCCTATGTTCTTTGCAGCATGATTTACAATAGCCAAGATATGGAAACGATATATGTGTCCATCAACAGATGGATGGGTAAAGAAGATGTGGTATATATAAACATGGAATACTACTCGGCCATAAAAAGGAGAAATTTTTTTTTTAAAGATTTTATTTATTTGACAGAGAGACACAGCGAGAGAGGGAACACAAGCAGGGGGAGTGGGAGAGGGAGAAGCAGGCTTCCTGCCAAGCAGGGAGCCCGATGCAGGGCTCGATCCCAGGACCCTGGGATCGTGACCTGAGCCAAAGGCAGACGCTTAACCGACTGAGCCACCCAGGCATCCCAAAAAGGAGAAAATCTTGTCATCTGTGACAACGTAGATAAACCTTAAGGTCATTATGCTAAGTGAAATAAGTCAGACAGAGAAAGTAAATACTGCTTGATTTCACTCTTATGTGGAATCTAATAAAAACCCCAAAGAAACAAACAAGCAAGCAAGCAAATAAAACAAAGCTTACAGATACAGAGGAGAAGGGGGTTGAGGGTGGGTGAAAAGGATAAAGTGGGTTAGTTTTCTGGTGAAAGAGGGTAACCAGACTTATTGTGGTGATTACTTTGTAGTTTATGCAAATATCAAATCATTGTGTTGTACACCTGAAACTAATATAATGATACATGCCAATTTTACCCCAAGTAAAACAAAAAAGAATAGATGTTCTTCGATAGATGGAATCTATTTTATAAAAAAAAAAGAAGAAAAAGGTAATAAAAATAAAAGTGAAAAAAAGAATACAGTCTGGAAAAGTCACTCCAAAGCCGATGCCTGGAGGTTGGAATGCTATCTGCTTACTCTGGACACACATCTCACAGGACCAACAAGACGTGCACTTCACCCCAGCTGATCCCAAGGGGCATCAGAACGGGCCACGCAGGTGTTAGGTGAGGAGCAAGCTGGAGCAGGCCCTGCAGTGAGGGCACTTCACCGCTGTAAGTAGGCCTCCTGTAAGGACACCCCACCTTCCCAGCCCACTCCCTCCCTGCCTGCACACTCCACCTTGTTGGTTTCTGCAACTGTCAGAAGCAACCATTTTATAGCCAGATGTTTCTATTCTTAATGTGCTTCAAAATTTTTCTGCCCCACGAATATCTGGTTTGTGGATCATTTTGCCTTAGACGTATCCATTTGCATTTTTTCCATGATGATCTGCATTTTGTCCCTGGCCTTTCCCATTTTCCTAATTCCTTTAAGTTATCCCTTTGCTTATGCTGGTCTTTGGCACATTTCTCCATTCTGCATCATCTGTGAATTTCATCTTCAAGCCCTTGCTCACTCCCTGAGGTCGTTAATAAAGACAGGTCTGAGTGAGACAGGAGGACCAGCTTCCCGACCCACCCTGGAGACCACCCTCCTGCGCCAGCCCAGTGTCCTGCAGGCTGTTTACTTCTACCCAGAACATTTTTCCATCCACATGATGGGATGGGCAGCCAAGATGATCTGCCTTCATTTATGCCATGTCTCAGGACCCTTTATTAGCTGCCAAACTTCAGAATTCATGGATGGAACATCTGTTCCTGTCAGTTTTTATGCTGGGATTACACACAAAAGTAAAGTGTTGGCCTTCACCTCAAGAGCCACAAGAGCGTACTGTTGTCAATTTAACATGGGTGTGGAAACACAATCCTTCTCCCCACGCTGTGGGAAATGACTCTTCCTTCGATACCCTCACATTGTTCTGATGCCTCGCTTCATTCTTCTCTTTATTGTTGTACAGGACAAGCAACCTGCCCTCAGGAGAGTCAGCAGGGTCCCGAGTCATTCCATGTTTCCAAAATTATTTGGAAATTGGTCTGCAATGTTTTCCTCTGCCATCAAGAGCCTGAATTCTCACTTGGTGCAAATTTGAGCCCTGCTCATCAAGGTAGGTCTTTGCCAACTGTCAAAGCCCAATTCCATGGAGATCTTGGAAAGCAGGAAAGGGGTTGAAATCAGGATACTCAAAAAAGAGATGCAAATTAGATTTTACAATGATATTCGAGGACAGGAGCAGCTGGAGGGAGAGTTCTTTACCTGAACTGGCTCCTGACACTAACCAGCTCTGTGGGCCTGGCCAATTGCTCAGCCTGCCTGAGCCAGTTTCCTCAGATCTAGGATGAGAGATTGGAACTAGACCGTGCGAGGCCACTTCCAGCCACAGATCTGTGATTCTATCTGCAGAGTGCCGAAAAGAGTGTGCCCTTCCCAAGCTGCTTGCACTGACTTGCACAGGGAATGACTGCAGGGCTGAGAGCCAGGGCCACCTAAGAACCATAGAGCTCTCTTTAAGATCGCAAAGGGCCCGTTTGAATCATTTTTACTATGGCTTTTTTTTTTTTTTTAAAGCATCATGAAGATGATAGGCTCAAGGTCAGAATTGACGCCAAACTGAGAAGCATACAGAGTTTGCCTCTGATCTTACACATCAGCTTTTTAAAGTATTTGCTCACATAGTTCCCACACTCCTCCTCCTGGGCAAGGGGGTGGAGAGGCCCATCCTCTGATCCAGTCCTAAGCACTTCATTCAGGCGCTCATAAATGACACAAAATGTCACCTCCCAAAGGTACTTTCATTAATTCAAATACTTACAGAAGGACTACTTAACGTAGCATTTTATCCATTCATTGTTGAAATACAGAGCATCTACTAAGCATCAGGCAGAGTGATTAAAAACTGGGTACACGAAGATGAGTGACATTTAGCTGTAAAGAGGTCACTCTTCAGCAGGGAGTCAGGTAAGTGACAGATCACTGCAACATATCTACAAGAGAGGGTTGGAAGAGTTCTCCATGGGATGCACACATCGCTTAGAGTACAACTAGGACTGCTGTTTAGAGTGAAGAGTTATAATACTAGCTAATATGCCCACAGAAATGCATGAGCCAAGACCATTACAGGCAAACCAGCACACAGGGTCATTCTAGCTAAAGAGAGATTAAGCCCCCTTATGTCATCGCTGAGACTGGGCCACACATTACTTAGGTAAGACCTTCACCCCAAAGAATTAGGTGATGCCTGACACAAAATCAACAACAGTTTGCATTTCTTCTTTAGTTGACTGATTTTTCGCAAATCATGCAGTTCATCGCTTTTTTCCTTACTTCCCTCCTCCTCCCCTCTCTTTCCCTCCTTCCTTCCTTCTTGCTTCTCTCCCTCATTTCCTTCCTCCCGTCCTTCCTCCCATCTGCCTTTCCTTCCTTTCCTTCCTTCCTTCCTTCCTTCCTTCCTTCCTTCCTTCCTTCCTTCCTTCCTTCCTTCCTTCTTCCTTCCTTCCTTCCTTCCTCTACAAGTGGCTCCCCAGTAGAACTTGTTATTAGGAGAATCTTAACATAATAAAAGCATTAGCATTCTAGGTATTTATTCTGTGGGGGATGACTTGCCCAGTCCCTTACAAGACTTGTGCCCTTGGGAATCCATTGGCCTAAACTTTCTTCTGGTTATTTCAGTGTACTTCACTGTAAAGTCCTTAAAACATCATGGAGCCAATCCCAGAAGACTGGATTATAGGTGAGATTGTTTTATAATAAACTTCTTCTTCCCTCCGGGTCTGCCATGTGGCTCTGCATCCTACTGACTTTAATACTACACCCTCTTATGATTTATGAGTTTCTACCGTAGAAAATTACTTTGCTGCACCATTAGCCCCAGTCCAAAGTTCTTCTGCCAGGCCGTTAGGTTCAGAAATTAAACACATGTTGGATTTATGTTTATTTGTAATCAAGATGTTCTCTTTCCTGCACTCATTGCTAAAGATGCTGGATCTCTCATAATATGAGTTTACTCCCTAGCTCCGTCATTCAACATATGTTATAAAAATAATCATAATCTAAAACTCCCTGAAATTTTTCCTCCAAAATAACTGAAGCCTGTGGCCTGGGTAGGCCCAAGGAAGTCAGTCCTCTACCAGGCTGAGCCCTCCACTCTATAACCACCTTCATGGTCCATCTTAGAGGTGTAGTAAAACCTTTGAGACAAACCTGAGCAGTAGGCTCATGACCTACATTCTTCCACAGCTACATCATCCAGAAAGATGACTTCTCTACTGTAAGGAAATTCACCAGTGTGGGTTTCATCTGGCCCAATATTTATCATCCCATGTCACAAATAGAAAAGCCAAATCAACTGATCACTTCGCTGATCAATAACTCCACAACTTCAAGTGTCAAATGTATGTCGATCAGTGCTCACCCACTACCATGAGTAACTGTTGAGAGAGAAGAGGAAAAGGGACTCTCAAAGGCTTACACTGTCTTAAAGGGAATCCCAATCAAGAACCTGCCTGAATCGTATACTTAAGGATGAAACAATACAAGAGGGTCTTCTGGAACCAGGAAAATGACAAGTATCCCCCACTAACCCCCTCCACTCAATGTTGTATTCAAGGTCCCAGCTAGCATAAGATAAGGAAAAAAGGTAAAATGTACAAGATATGGAAAGGAAAAAACAATGTTTTCATTATCAGCAGATATGATTTCCTACATAGAAAATTCAAGAGATTCTAAAGACAAAAATATTTGCATGAACAGAGAATAGCAAGTTGGCAAGTTAAGAATCAATACACAAAAAATCATTAACATTTTTCTACTCCAGGGGCCACAAAATGGACATTTTAGTTTTAGAAAAAATTAGAAAGTATAATTTTAGATAAATATCCTATGCACAACAGCAACAAAAATTATGAGGTAAACAGGAATATATTAACAAAAGATGGACAAAATTTTTTGGAAAATATTATAAAACATTTTATAAGGAAGAAAAAAGATCTGAACAAAGAGATATGCTGGACACATAGTAGCGAAGTTTCAATATCATTATAATCTGCTCAAATGTACCTATAAATTCAATGCCATTCCAAATACTATCTTGACACTTTTTTTGTGTGTGGGGGTATGAACAAAGAGATTGTAAAACTCATATGAATGAGTGAAGGGTCAAGTACAGTCCAGACAATTTTGAAGAAAAAGAATAAAAACAATTAGCTATCAAAAATTGCCCTAAAGCTACAGTAATTAAGTAGGGCTTAGCCCAGCACCCCAATGGAATAGACCCACATCTATATAGAAACTTTGTGAATGGGAGTAGTGGCAATACTAGTCAATGGAGAAAGGATAAAATATTTAACAAACGATGCCAGGAAAATTAGCTATTCATGTAGAATAAATAAATTAAAATTTGTTTTCTGTGCAAACCTAAATCCCATATGGGTTAAAAAACCTAGCTATTGAAACAAAGCAATGCTGTAAAACTTTTGTGAGAATATATGGTATGTTTATAATATTGGCATAAGGACGGTTTTCTTGAACAAGGCACAGAAGGTACCAAACATTAAAAAAAGTTGATAAATTTAGCTACAAAAAACTGACAAAATTTTGGGTGAAAAAAACAAATATAACAATTAGAAGATAAGCTACAAATTAGGAGAAGATATTTCTAACTCTTAAAATAATAAAAAAGGAATTAGTATCCAGAATATACAAAGATATCTTTCAGATCAATAACACACACACACACACACACACACATACACACACACAACAACAAAAAAATAAGGGCAAAGGATAGGAACAGGAAATTTACAAAGAAATCTGAATAGCCAATAAATATATGAAAACATCAAGAAAATATTTCATACCCATCGATTGGAAAAAATTTAAAAGTCTTACAACACACATGCTGGCAAGGATATGGGAAAACAATATGTCATTTAGTACTGCTGAGAGTGTAAATACCTATAAGCACTTTGGAGAGCAATTTCACATTATCTAGAAAAACTGAAAATAAACATACCCAGCCACCAAGTAATTTCACGTCTAAGTAATTACCCTAGGGAAACTCTCACACATGTGCTCAGGGAGAGTTCTACATAGTTGGTTGTTGCAATGTTATTTTTAATAGCAAAATGTTGGAAACCATCTAAAAGGCCATCAATGGGGAATGGATAAACTGTGGTATATTCATGCACGGGAATACTAAGCCACTGTTAAAATGAATGAATGAATAATTCCATAGGTGGTAATGTGAATAAATCTGGAAAATATAAAGTTCAGCAAAAATGAGGAAATTTATAGTATATTATGTATGTACACTTTAAAAATTAAAAACAATACTATGTATTGAGAATATATACTAAAGATAGTGGTTATTTCTTGGGAGGGAAGAAATGGGGGTTTATTACCTCTACTGTTTCATTTCTTTTTAAAGAACCAATCTAAATCAATACAGCAAAATACTAACATCTGTTAGATCTAGATGGCAGATATATGAAATTTGTGAGTTTTTTGTGTTTTGTGTGTAACGAACTTAAAAATATTGAAAAAG